CTACTCTTCCGTGGTCTTTATTTTATTTTACTTTATTTTATTTTATTTTATTTTATTTTATTTTATTTTATTTATTTTTGAGACAGGGTCTCAGGTCACTCCAGATGGAGTACAGTGGGGCCATCACAGCTCACTGCAGGCTCGACTTCCTGGACTCAAGTGATCCTCCCACATCAGTCTCCTGAGTAGCTGGGATCACAGGCACACACCACCATGTCCAGCTAATTGTTTTTATTTTTTGCAGAAACGGGGTCTATGTTGCTTAGGCTGGTCTTGAATTCCTGGGCTCAAGTGACCCCAAAACTTGGCCTCCCAAAGTGCTGTGACTGTGGTTGTGAGCTGCCATGCTTGGGCTTCCTGGGTCTTTTTCACGAGCTGCCTCTTCATTTGTAAGCATCTAGCCCATAGAGTGGTGTGGAGGATAGACTTTAAGGTGACCCCCATGATATCTGACACCTGGTTTTCATGCTTTTCTATAATCCCCTTCTCTTGAGTGCGAGTAGACTATGTGACTTGCTTTCAGACAATGTAAACAGGACATATACAATGACGTATATGTGATTACATAAGAGTGTTGTACTCATCTTGTTAGAATCTTTCTCCCCTTTGCTGGCTTTGAAGAAACAAGCTGCCGTGAGTTCTACGTCCATAGGAAATGAATTCTGCCAACAGCATGACAGGACATAGAAGTGGATCCTTCCCCAGTTGACACTGTGATGAGTTCCCGATTTCAGCCAACACCTTGATTTCAACCTAATACAGATGGACAAGAAGAAACACTCAGTGCCAGCTGCCCATCCGCACATGTTGTGATCTGCTCCCCTGCTCCCGCGCCCCTCCAACCAGCTCCAGGCCAGGATCCAGAGTTTCTGCTGTGTGGTAACCACAGGCCAAGCAATGAGCCACCTGGACAGTGTGTGCAGAAAAAGACACAACTAAAAAGTTCTCTCTGAGCCTATCTCCTGTTCACAGCACCTGGCCTTTGCCTACTCTAAGTTGCCATTTCCCCATCCAAGCTCCCATCTTTATCAAACCATGACTCAGTCAGCTTCTAATCTAACTCCAGGATTTTCTCACAGCTTTTTTTTTAAATAAGCTTATATAACATACATACAGAAGCATGCAGAAATTATAAGTGTATATAGCTCAATGCATTTTCACAAGTGAAACACCTTCAGGTTACTATCAGTCCAGTCAATGAATAGAATATTACCAGCATCCCAGCATCATTCATTTTCATTAGTGTATGTTTTCCATTGTGTGAATATACCACAATTTGTTTTTCCATTTTACTATTGAATGGCACTTAGGTAGCTTCTAGTTGGAGGCTATTACAAACAGAACTGCCATATTGACTGTTACATTTTTTGGTTAACATGTGTGCTCATTTGTGTTGGGCATTTTCTTAGCAGTGAAACTGCTAGGTCATAGAGCATGCATATGTTTGGCAGTAGATGCTACTACTGAGCAGTTTTCCAAAGGGGCTTGTACCAATTTGCATTGCTACAGTAGGGTATGCTAGTTTTTCTTCCACACCCTCACCAACATGTAGTATTTTCCATCTTTATCATTTAAGCCATTCTAGCAAATGTCTTCTGGTTTTTCTTTAACTCCTGCATTTCATCAATGCCTCTCTTATTCTTATGGAATTTCTATAAATGAGTTCAGGTGAGAATGTGTATTAGTTAGAGTTCTCCAGAGAAACAGAAACAGAACCAATAGGAGGTGTGTGTGTGTGTGTGTGTGTGTGTGTGTGTGTGTGTGTGTAGGGAGGATGGAGAGAGAGAAACAGAGAGAGAAATTTATTATAAGGAATACAATATAAAATAATCATTCATACAATTAATACAGATTAAGAAGTCCCAAGATCTTCAAGCAGCAAGCTGGGGACCCAGGAGAGCTGACGTGAAGTTCCAGTCTGAGTATGAAGGCCTGAGAACCAGGAGAGCCGATGGTATAATTCCAGTCTGAAAGATGGCAGGCTTGAGACCCAAAAAGAACGGATGTTTCGGTTCAAGTCCAAAAGCCAGAAAAAAAACAATGTCCCAGCTCATAGTAGTCAGGCAGGAGGAGTTGCCCCTTTTTCACAGAATTAGCCTATTTATTTTATTCAGGCCTTTAATTGAATGGATGAGAGCCATTCACATTAGGGAGGGCAATCTGCTTTACTCAGTCTGCCAATTCAAATGCTAATCTCATCCAAAGCCACCCTCACAGACACACCCAGAATAATATTTAACTATTTGGGCACTCCATGGCCCAGTCAAGCTGAAACAAACAGTTCATCATTATACCATGTTAGTTTGTCTTCTTGTCCGCAACTTTCTTTTAACTACGGTACAGTATTCCATTGTGTTATATACAAGCATAGTTATACTTCATGAAATGAAAGGGCCGGGCATAGTGGCTCACACCTGTAATCCCAGCACACTGGGAGGCCGAGGTGGGTGTATCATGAGGTCAGGAGATGGAGACCATCCTGGCTAACACGGCAAAACCCCATCTCTACTAAGAATACAAAAAAAAACAAAGAGTCCCAGCTACCCAGGAGGCTGAGGCAGGAGAATGACGTGAACCTGGGAAGCAGAGTTTGCAGTGAGCTGAGATGGCGCCATTGCACTCCACCCTGCGTGACAGAGTGAGACTCCATCTCAAAAAAAAAAAAAAAGGAAAAGAAAAAAAAGAAAGAAAACAAGCATATTTATTATTTTGCTTAATACTATGTTTGTAAGTTCCATTTATATTATTTTTGGCTGCAGATCATTTTCTCATCGCTATATAGTATTTCATTGTGTGACTACATGAACATGTATTCATCCAGTTGATGAACATTTGGGTGGTTTCCAGTTTGGGATGATTCATTGATTTTGACATCATGAATATTTAGGTTGCTTCTGATACATTTATTTAATAAGTTGCAAAGTCATCGTTTTGCATATCTGCTTCTACAGATACATAAATGTTTCTGTTGGGTGGCCACAGGTTAAACAATGATCTACCTGGATCATGAATGGAGAGAAAAGAAAACAACCAGAAAGTGCTCTCTCCCCACCTATTCTCTGTCCATGGCATTTGCCATTTTCTCTCACTCTGCCCCTACCACGCTGTGACCTAACCAGCTTCTACCTTCTCCCAGGAGTTCCTCACAGATTTTTGTCTTATAAACATTTTCTTGAAGTAAAGCATACCTACAGAAAAGTTCATACATTTTAAGTATGTAGTGCAAAGAATTTCTGTGAATTGAGCACACGTAAGTAACTCAGATACAGATGAAAAATTATTAGCATCTAGAAATGGAACAATGCATTAGAGGATATGTAATTCCAGCTTTACTAAATACTGATGAATTGCTCTTCAAAATTACCACGTCCACTAACTCACACCAGAAGTAAAGATGTACACCCATTTCCCTTTAATCTTGTCAGCACTTGGGGATAGCCATACACTAGCTTTCACTATGCTAATAGGTAAAAATTCTTACTGTTTTGAGTTATTTTCCTTAATTGTTAATATGGTCGAGCCTATTTTCATGCTTATTTGTTAGTTGGAATATGCTGCGCCTGTTTTGCTATTGAGTTGTTGTCCTGTTTTGACGCTTTCCTTAAGAGCTCACAGCTTATCCAGTTTTCTGCACAACTCACTTCTGTTTGCTGCCCTTCATTATAGACTTAATGGCTTCTCATCGTTAGAGCACTGTGCCCTCCTTGGGTCTGGATGCTTTATAATAAAGCTTTCCCAGGAGATCTCATGGGGGCCATGTTCTTTAGTGGTGGCCACTAAAGCCCCTACCTCTTATTCCCAGTGTCATAAACCACTGGCTGGACCTGTTTGGTTCACAGAGTGTTTTCAGCGTGAGGAATCAGGTATCATGCTTGGTTGTCATATAAGCAGCTTAGTTCCTATTGTTTTACACCCAGCCTGCTACCCTCGTTCATGTTACCTTCATGCCCCATAGATATTTGAGATTTGATGCAAACCAATCTCAGTAAAAGCACCACTGTCTAGGAAGTGGTGGAGATGGGTTATCAGCTCATTTACATCAGCAGCTGTGGGATCTTGAGCAAGTCATTTCACCTATTGGAGCCACTCTCTGCTAGCATAAAGGAGAACATAAAGCTACCGTCCTTGCCTATCTCACAAGGTTGTTTGGGAAACTGAATGAAAGAACATGTAAAGTATTTTGTGGGTTTTTCGTGAAACAGGAGCAGCTCTTAATATTCTTGCCTAGCCCTGTCTGTGGAGCCCGGGATGCTGCATTACCTCCTTTCTACCCTCGCCCTGAGTATTGGTCCTACGTAGAAACTGAGGTGAATATACTGAAGGCACTAAGAATCTTCACCAGGCCGCTCCCAGTCATATCACAAGGTGTTGTGGCTTATTGACAAACACAGACCTCGTGTTTTTCAGAGAACTGCCTTGTGAACACCTAGATAGAACTACGGGTGTGAAACACAAATGTACTTACTATTTGCCTACGCTTACGGAAATAAGAGCACACGACAGAGTAGATGGCAAGGTGAGGCTTTAAGTCAGAAAGCAACCTCAGCTGAAACAAATTATAATTATAATTTGATTTCAGAAGTGGAAACATGACCTGAATCCATGTACCTACTGATTAGTCCAAATTCCTGTATTGTTGAAGCTGGAGCAGAAGTGGGGGTCCACTGTGGAAGTAACAAAAAGCACAACAGAACAGGGGTCCCATCCAGGGAGCCATGTTGATGGCTATGGGGAGCTCCCCCTTCCTCTTGGGGTGGGGCCCTGGCCCTGGGTGGGACTGTGGGGTGATGAGGGTTGTGCTGTGCTGGTGGTAATTGCCAAGGAGAGAGCAGCACGTAGATCCTCCCTGTCATCAGGCAGAGCTCTTCAGTGAGGTGGGCTCAGGGAGGGCTCTGTGCCTCTGTTCAGCAGAGCTGCAGCTGTTGCCCAGCTCTCAGGAGGCGAGCTGGACTCCCTCACTCAGCTGCAGGAGCAGGGACTGCGAGGCTCAACCCCGCCTGAGCCATGCCAGCCAACTTCACAGAGGGCAGCTTCGATTCCAATGGGACCGGGCAGATGCTGGATTCTTCCCCAGTGGCTTGCACTGAAACAGTGACTTTTACTGAAGTGGTGGAAGGAAAGGAATGGGGCTCCTTCTACTATTCCTTTAAGGTAAGTTTCCTGCCTGCGACTCTGCACACTGACATAATAATGAGACTGGTGGAACTTAAGAGTGTCAATTAAAGGATCATAGCCAGTATTGTGAATGAATGTTGTTTATTTTCTTTACTAAAAAGGATTTTTAAAAGTCTGAAGTGCTAAAGCAACAAGCTTTAGTGTGCAGAGACCTAGACTGTAGTTTCTTAGGAATACAGGTGGCATTTTTCTTTCTGATGCTGCTGGAAATGAGTGAATCATGAGTAACATTTATGAGTGGATGATTTTTACTTTCCCCTTTTCCTAAGGTGAAAGCACTTTTAATTAATCCTATAGCAGTACTTGAAATGTCTGTTTCTAGTAGGGGTTACAGCTATGAGTTTTTTGCTAGCAACACCAGAGGTGTGGAAAGCTCACAATCCCCAGGACAGTGACTGATGTGATGAGAAACAGCATTGAATAAGGCAGGAAGGACGACACTTTCTTTGATGATCCTTTTCATTAAACATACTGAGAAATAGATTTCTTTGAGGGTAGTTGATGATGCCACCATTTGCAACAAATTCCCTCCTAGAACAAATGAAAGACAGAGAGTTTGGTGAGTTTCACCTTCAAAGTATCCAAGGGCCACACTGAGGAAGGATCTTCATTAAGCTAATCCTGTATTGTTTCTTATTCCGCAACAAGATCTTGTGGACAGAAATGAACCACACGTTTGGGAAAACAACAGTTTCCTGTTTCTTGCCTCAGAATGCTGGCTTGTCAGGTTATTTCACACCCTGCCTAACAATATGTTTAGTCATTGCAATCATTCACAGGTCTCAAACTGGTCCTTTCCACCAAAGGAAAAAATACTTCAAAAAGATTCTAGTTGTTGCTTTGTTGGGTTTTGCTGTTGTTGTTACTCCTCTGTATGTTCTTGAAATGATTTGGTTTTTACACAATGAGGTAACATTACTGTAATATCCACCTCCCTACTGGAAGTTCATTTCTTTTGCAAGTATTCAGAATAAAACTTTCAGCAGGGTGCTGTCCCAGGAGTCAGACTTAAACTTCCAGGGCCCTAATGACTATGCAGCAAAGCAGAGCCTGATCAAACCACTCCTCCACTGGCTTCAGCGAAACCCTGGTCTCCAAATCACCTCCTAATGCAAGCACATACACAGCTCAGCTGCACAGCTCCACGATGTAGCAGGGAAAGTAAAATTAGAGTTTGTTGCTACTTAATGTTGACTGAATAATCCCCTTTATGAAATCAGCCTGCAGACCCAGAGAGTCTATCTTGGCAGGCTTTGTGCACCCAGGAAGCACAGGACTCCACTTAGTATTGCTGCCTGTGCAGCCTCTTTGATATTCTCAGAATATGACAGCAAGCAGAATGAAGAGAGGTCCTCCATGGCAAAGGGAATAATAATCAGCAATAAGGTGGTTATTCTGAGACTCAGGCAAGAATCAATCTCAGCTGAAATCTCATTTGCCATTTTTTGAATACAGCACCTACAGGGATATTTGGAATATGTGAAGAAACAAATCCCACCCTGCTCTCTCTGAGTGTTTGTCCTCTCTATCCTAGCAACATCATCGCCAGACGCTAAAGAGAATCACAGCATCTCTAGTTGATTCCTATTGATATGTTTGCAGCAAAATGGCTGGACCACTGGACAAGGAGAAAAGCAGAAAGAGAGGAATTATGTCTGGCCAGGAGCTTAGAGTGCTCAGATTCATTATTACAGAGATACGTGTATTGATTAAAACCCTGTGATTTTTAGTTACACAGTGATCAGTGGTGTTATTTGTGAGAACTTAGCTTACATTTCTTAGTGTAACTTTTTTTCTATGATCCCCTTTGACCACAAGCAATTTTAATGCATTGTTGACACAGTTCTGATGCAAGCCTTTGTTCACTGCGATTCATTTTATCTGACATACTAGAGAAGAAATTCAAAACCGTGCCCCCTTTACTGTCTCCCAAATGTATCCCTTTAATCCCCATTGCCTTTATCAAAAGCAGTAAAAAATAGCATAAAAATAAAAACAGCAACAGCAGTAAATGTCACAGAAATAACAGCAACAACCATACATTACTTTGGGTATTCTTGGTGCCAAGAGTCATAGCAAGACTCACTTAGCAAGTGACCTCTGTGAAGTATCTCATTTAATTCTCACAATCCATGGTGTATCTTTCCATCCAGATCTGCCTTCCATCTTCATCTGTTTATCACAATTTTACCCACTTTATAAAGCTCAGCTTGGGTTGCTTCCTCCATGAAGCCCTCCGTGATTCATCCCTCCCCGAGCTTCATTAGTGTCACGGACTGTACCTCTCTTCTTGCCACTTAATGCAGCTCTGTCTTAAACTGCTGTTTCCATATGTGTTGGGTGAATGTGTTACAGTCCTCAAGCTCCTTGAGTTAAAGGAATGCCTTATATTTGTTTCATATTTTCTCCCAGGACCTACCATTATGCTGGTCATACTCAATAAACATTGACTGTATAAACAAATTGCGATACGTTTTTTTCTTCCAATTATCAACATTTTGTCAAATAAGCAACAGAAAGCATGTATTCCCTATGACAGAGGTGGGTGGGGGCTCTCATTAACCAAGTTTCCACCCATCAGCCCCTACCCTGCCTGGTCTCTATACTCACCCAGGTCCCTTTCTGCAAGCATGTTCAGCTTGTCTCTAATCCATTTCTAAGCCAATGAGACCAAGATCAGTTCTAGATTCCAGTGGGTGGGGTACGGAATTAGCTGAGGCACCATAAGCTGGTACCAAGTATCTGGTCCAGCCCTGGGGAATCCATCTCTACCGCATGGCAGCCTTACCTAGTCTCAGCTGTCTTGCTCAGTCCACTTACCTGGGCTTCTGACTTAGTTTCTGGGAAACTAAGAACATTCTAGTTCTTATCCTCTGAACCCCAAAGCTCTTTCGGGAGGAGACAAAACACCCCGTCTAGATCTTACTGGCACTTCCTTCACAGGCTTAGAGTCTGTTCCTTCCCCCAACCTCCACCCTTGAATTCTAGCTTCTGCTCCCACCACTGTAACCTGCTCCACCTTCCTAAGCATGTGAGGCTCTTGGAAATGAGCAGGGAGGTCTGGGGTGGGTTCACCCATCCCACCTTCTACCATGGGCCTTGTGTAACTAACCCTACATGGTCTTGGGTTCAGGATTCTCAGCTCAGATGCTGGGTCCCTTCACAGTTTCCAGTTTTGTGTACTTTTAAGATCACATCCAGCTCACCTCTTCAAGACCTAGTTCTTGGCATTAAGGAATTATATGCGCTTCAAGAATCTACCAGAAGTTTTCAAGGGGAAATGGGAACTAGCGCATCAGAAAATAAATGAGGTATCTGCATATAAGGCTGTCCAAATGCAAAACAAATACAAAACTCTTCACACAGAAAGCCCTTAATTTTGCTGGTGAATTCACCAGCAATGTTTCCTGAATCTCTGATACTTAATGAGAAACCTAATTAGAAGTAACTGGGAGGGAGACCTGTCTCAATTAATGAATTACCTAAATTATAAAATAATGTAAATGAAACTTAGTTTTATTACTCATAGGTGAGTGGCAAAACATGAACTAAGACTGCTAAATATCACCTAACAACAATCTTTTATTGCGCCTCCTTCAGTGGATAGTTACAAGTGATACGCGATTAGTCTAACTATCGTTTATATGTAAATGGTTGCTTCTAAGTGCTTGAGGGTGATTGGACACAGTTTATTCCCTGTGTTTGTACACCCTCCCTGCCACACTGCCTTACTGTTACTTTTTTTAACACACTCTTCCTCCATTAATATAACAAAAGCAAATTTCACCTCAACGCATTATCTCACACTATGCTTTTGCAAGGGAGCTCAAATTAAGAAGCTTAAGTAGACCACGCTTGTTTTCACTACATTTCGGTTCATAACTCATTTCTAAGACCTTCTTCTACCTATCAAATACTGGCATTTTCATCTGTGATTGTCACCTCAACGGCTCACAACTTTCCAGGGCTTGCTGTTCTCCCTTCCTGCCCTGGTCCCAGGACAGTGTCAGTGATGTCCTTCCTGGAATCCAGAATTCCTCATGTTCCAACCCCCAAATGTATCTCCTGCAATTTGTAACCAGGGGTCTTGCATTTACATCATGCATTTTTTATTATTTTCTAATTAGTCTCGCTCAGTATGTTCAATTTGAGTTTCTACAGTTGAATACTGTGGCTGCTCCTAAGGGAACTACTACTAGTTTTGCTCAGTTAAATCATTATTAAATACATTATTCCTTCCAGCCAGTTCTGCTACCCAGATCTAGCGCTCTGCTTTCTAATCCCTGACCCGGGGTAAACTCTACCATGCAGTGTGTCCAATTTCACTTCACGCAAATGAGAAAGGCTAAGGATGGCACGCAATTTCCAAACTATAGAGGCTAGTATTTGAAAAGGAAATCTTCCTCGGCTAAATTTCTCTTTGTGTTACTAATACATCTGATGGCAGGAAGCATAATCTTAGCTAATTCAGAATAAACCCAGTCATTGCAGAGCTTTTCAGCCCAGGAAGAGTTTTCACATTTTCTGGCTTCGGGAAGGCATCTAACTCCAGGGGCAGTGCTTCTGTAGTGCATTTCTCTCTCTCTCTCTCTCTCTCTCTCTCTCTCTCTCTCTCTCTCTCTGTGTGGGGGGGGGGCAGGGGGGGTGGTAAGGGATGGAAGGTGAAGAGAGTCTGATCTAGCGAGGGATCTGAGCAAGTTGGCATCAGTTGAAGCAAGACCTGTCTGTCCCTCAGATGTGGTCATCCTCATTCTGGACTTTCATCTGGGTTCCCATCCGACCTGTGTCAGGCCCACACTGCTTTCTGGGGTAATGTCCCTTGGCCACATTATCTCCTGGTACAGGGTGTTTAAATCCCTGTCTCTCAAGCTCGGCTATAATTTCTGCCTCCTTCCTAGAAATAGAAAGTTTGACAGCTCCCAACTTTGGGCTGCAGAAAACACAATGGAGTGTCTCTGGCCCTCTCTCATCCCACATAGCCACCTACACTGTACAACTTCCACCTCTTGATAGATAGGAAGGTCTGGGAGACTGTCCTTCCCTGGTCCCTACACAGTAAGTGGACCTCAGCACCCTTCCAATCCTGTGCTCCCCAAATGTAGCAAATGTTCTCTCTTCCTCCCCTTTTTCCTGCTAACCCTTGGAGGGGGACAATCCAATACCCTTTTGTCATTGTCTCAGTTGTCTCACATCTCCCCTGGCATCTGACACCACTACTGCGCCATCAAATCCTTCCATCGCCCTGAGCGACCCCCCTGTCATGGGGAAATTGACGACACAATGTTCCTCCAAAATTATTATTCCAGGCTCTCTGTTCTGAATGCTCAAAAGTCACACCCTCTTGCAACAGAAAAACCCCTTTCTCTTCCAGCTGTTTAAGATATCCTCGATGAGGTATTTTGAAAGCCCAGTGCTCACTTGTTTCTCTCTGTCTGCACTGATGGAGTCAAGAGTGCACTCTGAGGGCAGTGGGGCTGCCTGAGCTGGTGGACAGTGTATCAAAGAAGTGGAAAGAAGCACATCCATTCATGCTTCACAATGCCATTCTGCCATCCTTGAAATAATTTCCTGTTGATGAAGTAAGAATGTCTCAAGCCATGCACTCAGGTAGATAAGAAATCTAACCCTATTTTTCTTAAGTAAACTGAGCTTCTCTCTGGACCTCTAAACCTCCCAAGTAAACTCAGGCTTTTGAGCTTTCTCCAGCATTTCAGTGAGGCAGTGTGGTTCAGAGAGCAGGCTTTAGAGCCAGACTTCTGGGGTCAAATCCCAGTGCCACACCATCTAGCGGAGTGACTTTGGACACTTTACTTCCACCAGTGTCTCAGTTTCCTCATCCAACAAATAAAGCTAATAATTGCATGTCCTGTAGAGAGTTGTTGTGAATGGGAGAGAATGCTTGTATAGCCTTAAAGAACAGCAAGTGGCCCCCAGTAGTGTTCATTATTCATAATTAGAGTTCCAGGAGTTCGTCATTCCACTCTTTTCTCAAGACAACTACTGAGAGGTGAGGAGGCAGCATTATCTGTAAGGAAGAAGTTTTAACTGAGAGAGACCACTGCAGGTGGAAGCACTTCAGGACAGTTTTGATATGCAGGTGGTCCTCAAACAATGGTGGTGAATTAAGCTGTTTCTTTTCTTTAAAAAAAAAAAAAAAAGAAAGAAAGAAAAGAAAAGAAAAGAGAGACCATGAAAATGTAGAATAAGATACAGAGGGGAAAATTCTATTTCTTACTTTGTCATCCTGATATTATGTCTAGCTATTATCTAAGCAAACTTAATGGCCCACTACATGAAAGGCTATTTGCAGAAACAGCAAATTATGCCCTATCTGGAGAAAGAAAGAAATGGCTTCTTCTCTGGTATAAAGATTTTCCAGGCCACAGATGGCAAAATCACCCAAGGTCATGAGGAAGTTGTAAGGAATAATCAAGGTTCTTGTTTTCTCACTTAGGCAATATTGATGGCTGCCTAAAAATGATAGATCTATTGCTAATGTCAGCACTTTACAGTTTGCAATATGATTTCACAGTATCACCTTTGAACCACCCATCAGTTCTAGGGGGATTTAAAATAGCATTATTTTTATTTGAGCAGATATGAAACTAAAGTCTGAGAGAAGTTAAAGGTGTAAACTTCCTAAAAGTTAAGATAAGGTAAAAATAAAACAAGGAAGAAAAGAAAGAGGATTCTGAGCTGATTTTGGTCTGGATAGGTTAAGCTCTGAAATAGTAGAAACCGAACCCTGAATCTCTGTGGTTTAACACACCAGAGGTTTATTGTTCCCTCACATCACAGTAGCAAACAGGTCAACTTGTAGCTACACCTTCTAGAACAAGTGGCTTCCAGGGGAGATGGCAAACTTTGTCTTGTTGGCTTTGGTCTGAAATGACACATGACTTTGACTGAGTTCCATTGGCAAGAATTAGTTACCTTGATGGGCAAGAGAAATGCCCCCAGGGTCGGGGGTATAATGCATGGCTTTAAAGATTTGATCCTTACCTCTGGTAGATAAAACCCAAATCCTTGGGCCTGGCCTACTGGCCTTTCACTGACCCAATCACCTTCTCTACTCCTTTCTTCACATCCTGGACCGCGTTGTATTGAATGCCTTACCATAGTCTGAGGATCCAAGGTCCTGTTTCCCTTTTCTGGAAATGCCTTTCTCATACCTTTTTCTTCTGATATCACTCTAAGCTCAGTTGCCTCCTCTTCTGGGAAGGCTTCAGAATCATTCAGTAGACCAGCATCATCACATCACTACCCTTGTGCTCCCAAAGCACTTAGAATCTCTGTGCAACACGGTACCTCTCTTGACATATATGTTCACCTACATACACACACATGCACGCACGCATACACACACAGCCATGAGCACATACACATGGACACATACAAATACACAACGACAGACACACATGCCCACACACACGCAGACGAGATGTCAGTTATTTAGGGACACCTTTAGATCCTACTATCCCTAGTACTGTGACTGACACATAGCAGATACAAGGTCAATAAATACTTTGTTGAATGAAAGAGTATATCAAGAAATAATCCGTAAAACAAGTTTACTGCTAATATCTCAGTAAGTTCATGTGAATGAATTTGGGTAGATACAGTCTTAATCCTTTTTCACCAACCATTTGGGTTGAATTTATAGGCGTCATAATTTGGGAGGGATTCGTGACATCATAGTAAGCCATGTTATGTATTATTTAGTAGTGACGAGGAATAATGATGATACTATCGGATTTTGGGAAACATCAATAGGATTGGTGAGTAGAGGCACTACACGAGCCTGGAGGAGGGACAGGGAAAGAGAACAGGTTTCTGTAACCCAGGATGCCATTTGGTTGAAACAATACTTAGTTTCAACCTCCTTCTCACCATCCCAGCTAAGTACTCACTCTCCTAGTCTCCCTTGCAGTTAAAGGTAGCACAGTTTGGGAAGCTTAATTGGAAGTCTCTGAGATTTCTAATAAAGGTTTTTCCTTTTCTGATGAAAGTAGAAAGATATGGCTGGCATTCTGACGTCCCCCCGACTTGAATTCAGACCCAGGGCATAGAGCCGCAGCAGCCATTTTGTGACCACAGGAAAAAGAAGCCAAGGGAATCTTAGTGAATTGAGTTCAGCAGTAACATATCTTCAGATTTCTTATTATATGAAAAAAAATTAAATCTTTGTTTAAGCCACTGCTAAGCTGAATACTTTCCTAATAGATATAAATACTAAGTATAATATGACATTGACAGTCTTGAAGCCAAGGTCTCAAAACGTGGTCCACAGAGAGTCAAGCAGACATTGAATTATTACACATTTGGAGGGTACAGAGGCTGGCTCTGCCCATGGATTTTGTCCTGTTATTATCTAGATTACAAAGAGGTTGAATAGATTCTTATAAAAACTGATTCAGATTAGATTGTACAGTTTTGAGTAACCAAGAAAGTAAAAGTTTCTACCCCTCCTCATAGGAAAGGGTCTTACATTTTTCAAATGATTCTCTACATTCCAGATAATAACAATGCCATTCACTTGTGCAATTTTATGAAAAAATACTAAAACCATTCTAAAAACATCAGCTCAAAAAACTACCCAAGACATCTGCTCATTTTTTCATGATGGCTCAATAAGAAGATTTTTTTATTCTCCTCCAAAAAGCATAAGGAATGACATCCTTTCCTGACAGCTTAAAACATCCAAGCAAAATGTAAGCTGGAGCCACGGGCTCTGCACCTGGCAGCCAGTTTTATGTTGTGGGATCCTGCACACATCACAGGGCTACTCTAGCCCCAGGTATCTCTGCCCTGGGTGCGGAACAATAACCGCCATCCCTGCCTGGATGGTGAAGTAGGAATGGAGCTAGTTCTCATGTGGGAGGAACAGTTTTGAGAGACAGGAGAAGGGAGGTAGTCGTGGAGGACTTCTGCTTACTAACCTGTGACAATCCTCTCCAAGCCCAGAGAAGGTGGGAAGTGGGGGAGGACTGATGCTTTTCCCCCTCAAAGACCAGCCTCCTGGACCCTCCATTCATCCAGCTTCTTCACCCTCCTGGCCTCTCCACATTCCCTGCCTCTCCATTTTCTCAGGTTCTCCACCTTTCCAGACACTCCACCCTCAAAGACTCTCCACCCACCCAGCCTAGTCATGCATTGCTAAAGATAAATAAAAAACAAACTTCCTGGGACTCTTTCCTCCTTCTAAAGACAGGAGTAGGTGGTTGAAAAGGAATCAGATGCAATCATAACTTTGACAAGACTCACAAGAACCCTCATGAAGATTCCCTGCCCTCTGAAAAGCCTCTCTTTTCCCAGCCTTATCTGTCTGCCCTCATCCTTACCAGGGCATTCAGCTTGGACTTTGCATGCTCAGTTTTTAAAAAGCATTTATTTCTTCCCCTTTTCCACCATCCCTCTTTTATCTCATCAAAACTTCTTTCTTCAATAAACTGACTCCAAGTATTAGCAGAAAAACCATTCTGAGTAAAAGAGTGCTGAGTTCCATCCCTCAAATGTCTCTTCTCATAACCCCCCTAACCTGCCATGGCTGTTTGCATTTTAGAGAAGCCTTTGCTTAATGTAAAATAAACTCCTACTCCCCATCCCCTCTGGACAGAGTCTAAAGGATTCTTGGAGTTCCTTACAGAAGCCAAAACTCCTCTGCTGGGCTACAGCCATGACTCACCCAGGCCTCTGAATCAGACCCAAGGTATCCCCACAGCACTCAGAACTCCATTCACATAGAGATATTGAACCCAAGTGTTCGCACAAGGAGCATTATTCACAAGTCATAATTTAATAAAAAATGAAAGGGAATATTGCGAGTGCTCAAATGCAGGTTTCTCTTCTTTCACCTATTATTGTAGACTCTAACCCTTGGCAACCCAGAAAAATCCATGAAGACTGAAGATATTCTTTTGGCTAAGAATAAATTTATTCCCTTTCCAATGTATTTATTCCCTTTTCAGGATTTTTGGTCTAGGTTAAGATAAAAATGCAGAGTATTCAAGAACACAGAAACTATCACCCTAAAATAAAACTTAGAATAATGTAATGAATGCAACTCTATCAGGTATTCAGTCTTTTCTATCGATTATTTCATTCATTAATCAGGTTAAGCTAGCTTATGCTGAGGAAACAAATAACTGGATATTCTCAGTGGGTTAAAACCATAATATATTAATATTTGTTTCCTACTCATGTCCCATGTCCATCACAGGTTAACAAGGGGCTCCGTGTGTTGTAATCTCTCAGGGAACCAGCTGATGGAAGCCCCATGTCAACACAGGCTTCCATAATACTGAAGTCAGGAGAGCAAGAGCTAGAGAGATACAGAATAATGATCCTTGCCCTGGCTCTCATAAGCTGCTGCCCAGAAATAACACATATGACTTCCACTCACTATTCATTGGCCAACGTAAGTTCACGGTCACATCTGATATCAGTGGAGCAGAGAAACATAATCCTCCCACTGGGAAAGGCAGGAAATCTTGGTGCTCAGTAATGTGTAAGGCAACTCCTAAAGCTCTGAGACAGGCATTGTCCTCTTTGATTTAGAGAAAATAAAAGTGAGGCTCAGAGAAGATAAGTTCACACAGTAGTTAATAATCCAAAAATTTTAACCCAGATATGGGTTAAAATTATGACCCAGATAAGGTACATGCTCTTTCCACCATATCAGGAATTCCCAAAGGTTGTTCCACAGAATTCTTATGATGAGAGTTCTTAAGCAGTTGTCAGGGGAATGTGGAATAAAGAACTTGGGAAGCACCACATAGTATACACCATTATATACTTAGAGGATGCATTCACCTATTTAACTCTCTGAGAAGTCTTATGGTAAAGAAACGTGTTTACGGTGGCTCATGCCTGTAATCCCAGCACTTTGGGAGGTCGAGGTAGGTGGATCATTTGAGGTCAGGAGTTCGAGACCAGTCTGGCCAACATGGTGAAACCCCATCTCTACTAAAAATACAAAAATTAGCTGGGCATGGTGGCGGGTGCCTGTAATCCCAGCTACTCAGAGGCTGAAACAGGAGAATTGCTTGAACCCTGGAGGCGGAGGTTGCAGTGAGCCAAGATTGCACCCCTGCACTCCAGCCTGGGCGACAGAGCAAGACTCCGTTTCAAAAAGATAAAAAGAAAAAGAAAGAAAGAAAAGAAACTTGTTTAATTCTTTAACATGCATTTCCCAAATCTATTTGACCACAGAGCATTACGATATTACCTCTAATAATGACCACTGGCACACACTTCAGAAAACACTCTGTTACATTATGTGCTTTCCCGAAAGAACTTACCAGATAACAGAACAGAACTAGCTCTGAGCAAATGAGGCCCAGAGAGGTAAAGTGACCTTTCCAAGGTTACATAGCTGGTAGACGTTAGAGTCAGGACAAGAACTGCAGTCTCTAAATATCCAAGTTGGAGCTTCTGCTCAGCTGCTGAGAGGATTGTGAAAAAATGAGAATGTTTTATAAACTGGAAAACACTATTCGAATTTAAGATAGCATTAATTCTCTAGGCGAAGCATTACTGAAATATATAGAATACATGGAAAGACATGCGGTGCTTCAAGATAGGAAGATTAAATTTCGTGAAGATGTCAATCCTCCCCAAATTAGCATATAATGTTTGAAATAATTTTAATCAAAACCTCAATGTGATTGTTTTAAATTGATTAGATAATTGAAAGTTTTATTTAAAAAATAGGTGAGAAAAGTTCAGAAATTTGAACACAACTATGGGGAAGAAATATGTTTCCCTATTAGTTATTAATAAATGTGTATCCACAGTAAGCAAAACATTACAGAACTAGCAAAATAATTGACAGATGGATCAATAATAACAAATAGTTTGCCCTGAAAATAAAGTCCTAGTACATATATGAACTTAATGTTACAAAGAAACAACCAAAATTAGTAAAAAAGGAACTAATATTTTGGCAACAAAAGTAGTGGGTGAGTAATAGCTCTTATATAAAGTTATAAGGTAAATCTCAGCTGGATTGTGGAACTAAATTTTTACAAAATAGCTAGAAAAATTATATAATGATGACACTAATTTTAGGATTAGCAAGCACTATTCAAGCCTAAAAATAAAAATTTAAAGGGAAACAACAAATTAAGAAATTTATTTACAATAAAAATAAACATATAATATTATAGCTAATAGTATATACATTAATTATATAAAAAAAAACATGGTTAAAGTCCTTAATATATAAAGAACCCTAGAGGGAAAATAAATAATATTTCTAATGGAAAAAGGGCATGGGAAATAAGAACAATTTTAGATTAAATACAGAGTTAAAAGAATATGTGAAAAATATTGTTTATAGTGGTTTGAACAATACAGACTCAATAATTCATCATAATATGAGACAAATCAAATAAAGATGAAAGGAAAATAATATATAAAGCCAGAACAGTTCTGTAAAACTGTTTGTGAGAGAGTAAATCAGAACAACTTAACCCAATTTTTCTGGAAAGCAATTTGGTAATATACAGCAAACTTACACGATGTATTCAGACTTTGCCTAGTAATTCTATTTGTAGGATTATACCATAAGTATACTAAAGAAACATTCGAAGACAGAAACAAAGACTGCATTGTTTTTATTAAAAAGCAAGTTTCTAACAATGGAACAATAAAATTGTGATATAACCATAGAATGGAATAGTAAGGAATATTATGCACCTATAATAACCATTTCTGTTTGTGCAATGTCAAAGGTTTTTAAAAGCACAATACATATAATACATTTCAAGTTTTATATATACTCATAAAATATAGAAGAAACAAATACCAAGATGGAAAAGTAAGAAATTCTCTCTGAAAATCACTTTGCAGATGATTTTTATTTTATCTTTGTGTAAAACCTTACTGTATTTTCTAGAGTGAGCACATATTACATTTATTATTCTAAACAACAAATAACCACGTAAGATACACCATGCAACCTCTCAAATAAATTTTGTGCATTGTATTTCCATGAGGTAAATGGGAAGAATCTATTTATTCTGCAGAAGCCCAGAAATGAACCCAAGCAAGCGAGGCTTGCATGACCCAGAGAGCACATTAAGGGATCCAGAAATGCAGGCAAGGGAAGAAGACAGCAAATGAAAACCAAGGCAGATGACTGGCTGTATGAATTGAGTGCACACCAACTCATTAGCCTTTTACATTTTGCTACCCAAACACCCAACTTAGCTGCACAGAAAACAAAGCTTGCAAGAGTAGCAATTCCAGACTCTGTAGCAGGAATCCTCCTGCTGAGCCTCTCTCATGCCCGCTCTCCTACTGTTCTCATCTCCCAGGATGTTCAACTCCATTCCCTGGTCCTTACATCTGCTTCTGCCCATCCATGTGTTCGCTCCTCCTGGTTTCTTTTAGCTACTTGATTTTGAGCCTCCCAGATGGATTTTAAATATCAGGTCCAAGCCAAGGTGCGCTCCCAGGGGAAAGTTTCTCAGACACTTTCCCTTTTTATTAGCACCTCCAGAACAGAAAACAAATTCCTGAAGGTTTATTATTTTAATTATGCGGATCATCAGGAATAATACATTCTGGGCATTTTTATTATATAGTAATTACTTTGGTTTCTACCACATTGTAGAGATTTGGACCTAATTTACTTAAATGTTAGTTTTCCATATTTCAAGAGTCTAGAGCTTAAATAGCAATTTAAATGTTAATCTCAGTTCTTGTTATATAGCCGACATTTCATTCGTTTATTCAGCAAATATTAATTACTACATAGACTTGAAGCCCAGTGGGTTTCCAAATGATTTCTAACATTTGTGGTTTGCTACATTATGGGAATTCAAATGGAATCCCAGAATTTAATTGTTTCAAAGCTTTCAATACATGCTATTAGTGGTTAATTTGCAAGTCCTCTTGTGATCCAAGAACAAATTGCAAGAAGAGATTCACATTAAAATGATTGCAGAACATTGGCATTTCTGTTTCTGGTGAAATTCAAGAATTCACCAGTAACCAGAAAACTGAATTCAAAAGTAACGCAAATGCAGTCCCACATGCCAAGCCCTGATCGAAATGAGAACGTTTAGGATGTGGGAGATTAACATTGTTAATAAAACATGATCTACGATCCACAGTACTGATGATAAAAACTCCAAACCAATGACTATGTCTTTCCAGTCAGAGGAGAAATGACTAATGCAGTTATTCAACATGTCCTGAAGACTAAACTAAGAAATCAATGTCAGGCAGTAATCCAGAGTCTGCTGAATCGCTTTCCGGTACAGTCCCAGTCTGAAGATGCTAGTATTACATTCCATCACTTGTAATGATGGTGTTGAGAGGTAAGGCAAAGGCAATTCAGACGAAGACAACTGAGGAAGATTGCAGATGGACCAGAATCTCTCCTCTTGAGGGCACATTCTTCTAACTCAGGACAATGACACAGGCCCTGGACCTTGTCCCATTATTAAAATAATTGGCTTTCGGACAGAGCTCCAGCTTCTCATCGTAAACCTTTCTCTGCTGTTACTACCTCAAAAGTGCCCTGAATGGCCACTGTCTGTCCTCACTAACCTGAAGTTCTCACTCTCTGCCTTCACTTACGCTGTTGCCAGGCACTCTACTTCTTAGCTTGGCTACTTCTACTCATTGTTTCAGACTCAGCTCGCATAACAATCTCTGTAGGCTATACCTGTTGACCAGCCATGACCAGCCCCTCCCCAGGTTCTATTAAATGCTCCTTATTTGGGTTTCTACAACATCTTTATCATAGAAGTTCACACTGAAAATTCTGGTTGACATACCTGCCTCCACCATCAGACTAGAAGCTCCTTGTCTTAGCCTCCCTTATATCCCCAAAGTATATTGAACTTTGGTATTAGATTCTCAGAAATGTTTATGGAATTTGACTGTACAGTTTACAAACCAGTATAATCACGTCTCCAGCTCCATGATTTTCAGGAGAGATTCCCACTTCTGGCCTGAGTGTCATTTCTACACCAACATGTAAGCAAGGCTCTCTCCTTGGGGTAAATGCCTTTCCCTCTTCTATACTACATGGGAGTTCACAGAATGACTCTCAGTTCACAACTACTTGGAATAATCGTGGTCCACAGTCTCACTCTCCAATTCAACAGGCCTAGGCTTCAACTGCACCTCCCATCCCATCCACTTGCTCTATTCTTCATGAAGAAGGTCTCTGTCAGCTTGTCTTACCAGTCTCCAGACAGGTCTAGAGGCATTGCAGAGGGTGCCATCTCTCCCTGTTCTAGACCCTTGTTAAAGTGATATGAAAAGTCTTACAAAAGTATTAAAACTTGAGCTAACAACCAAATTTATATGTAGCTTTTTACAGGTTTCTTACTTTTTTATGAATGTTTAAAAAATCTTGTCATACATATTTTCATAATTGAGTGTTATAACTGATGATAATCCTGGGTAATCCGGGACAGAATCCCCATAGTTCATGGTAAAACAGTTAGAAAATGTGAATGCCAACAGGAGGTCGTGATGACCATAATTCAACTGTATTTGCAAGCATGCCTCCCAGCTGGGTTGCTCAGGGGTTGGTGGCAGGGGAGGGGAGGAGAGACAGATTTTAAAAAGAGGCATCATCAGAAGGAGATGGCTGTCAGGGAGAAAAATGGCAGGCCCTCCTGAACTAGCCCAGTCCTACCTTCAGGCCTCCTTGTTGGCCTTGACTGGTT